ATTATATTTTTCAATTTGTTTTTAATAATAATACTAAAATGAAAGTAATTGCTCTATTTAAGAAATTTTTTTTCTTTTGAGAAGTTATATTATTGATTATAAAATTGTTACTAATGCAATTATAATCTTAAAACACCTAAAGATAAAACTCAACATTAATTAACTAATAAAATGAGAAGATAATGGATTTACTTAGATCATAAAATCTTAATCTGCAAGTCTATCTCCCTTGAATTTTATAATTAAAATTTGTAAATGAATCCATTCCAAATCAGATTTGGAGGATGAGAATTTGAATCTGTAAAAGTTTAAATAATGACCATTTTTAGATAGTAAAAGGCTGATCGAATCAAGGTATAATTAAGGAATTTTCGGTCTGCAGGGTTACCCACCACCTTAAATCAATAGTGTTTTTGATTTTAAATACTATTCTTTTTGAGTATTGTAAATAAAAATATGAATATGAGCTGATCCCTATAACTGAGGAGCTGCCTCTATAGGCTAAAATGTAAAAACATGATTATTTATAAAAAATAATCTATATCTCCATTGATCTACTGATATTCTTTATCTAATATTCCATTATGTTTTATTAGAGCCTTCCATCACAAATATTTAAGAATCACTAGTACAATTCTCCTTCATATAATATTTGATTATGATAATTATAATTTTCATCTAAGTAATCCATTTTTCATGTTTTTATCCATTTTAGTAATTACTGCCAGCTCTAATATACTATTAAATAAAATATGACATTTTGTAAAATGTATCTTTAGGTCAAAAGTTATATGTGAAAACATCATACTAATTGTATTTAATAGTCTTCACATCCCATTTACCTTATTTAATTCCATGACAATATTATCCAAAATCTATGATTTTACAATTACTAAAATACTGATTTATTATATTGATTATAATTATCACGTAAAGAAATCAATTGTCCATGTTTCATTCCTTAAGTATCATAAATACCCCCACCACTAAATATTAAAGTGAAATAATTATCTACATTTTTTCTAAAACTTAGTTTTTATTTAATATGATTTCCCATCTATCTTATTTAAATCCTTTGTAATATTCTCCTAATTATCTTACAAAAATGCCTTATTTGATCTTATATTATAATAAAATTTAAAGTTGCTTAATTCATTCCATTTTCTAATTTTAAAACTCATACCGTCGTATAAACCACCTCCACTTACAAATTTATTTCAAAATTTACATTATTATATTTCCTTATTTGATTTACCAGTATCTNAAGTTTCTTATTGTCCTCCTTATACTAAGATTTAGATATTATTTTATTTTTAATCCCATGTTACTAAGAATTCTCCATTATCACTAATTGTGCCATAAGTATTCATTGTACCAAAGTTGATTGCTTATTCTAAATTACATTCCAAATCAGATTTAGAGGATGAGAATTTGAATCTAATAAAGTTTAAATAATGACCATTTTTAGATAATAAAAGGTTGATCGAATTAATGTATAATTAAGGAAAATAAGGTCTGCAGGGTTACCCACCACCTTAAACCAATACTGTTTTTGATTTTAAATACTATTCTTTTTGAGTATTGTAAATATAAATATGAATATGAGCTGATCCCTATAATTGAGGAGCTGTTTCTATAGGTTAAAATGTAAAAACATGATTATTTATAAAACATAATCTATATCCCCATTAATCTACTGATATTCTTTATCTAATATTCCATTATGTTTTATTAGAGCCTTCCATCACTAATATTTAAAAATCACTAGCACAAGAGAGCAATTTAGTACCTTCTTGATTAATTGATAATCCAAAAATTGTAGATGTATGTTCTTCAATAGTCTATAAACATGTCCATGATAAAGAAGGTTAAGTTGATGGAGGAGACCAAAATTTTATCTTCTTATCTTAAGACCCACTAATAATAAGATCTTCTGATGAAGTTAGTAAAACTAAACATGTGATACTATTTGTATGTTCTTTTAGTATACATTATACTTCCCACTTAGATGGTATTGTAAATTCGAATGAATTAAGGGGTGACCAAATAATAATAGTATTATCATCTGAACCTGAGATAAATGAATTTCTCATTGATGGAGTTTTTTTGAAAAACATAAGAGAAGACACAAAATCCGAATGTTTACCTTTAAGTATTTCAATTTATCTAATAGATTATGTTGTTCTTGTAGCTGGATAGGCTTCTTATTATGAAAGAAGTGGTAAAATGATCTAAATGACTTTGATATTTGATTCAGCTGCAGCAATAATCAAAGTATTGTCATGATTGATAGCTATTGCTCTGCATAATTCTAAGTATCTATTAGGGTATAGTTCACGATAGAAGTATTTATTAAATCTACAGACTTGATTTTATTTCATAAAATTAATATAACAGGATGAATTTGATAACTCAAATATATGATAAAAAATATTTAAATTTAGATAGAAATTATCATTTCTTTTTAGTAGATGATAATTTTAGAACTAGATTTTATCTTCATAGATGAAAATAGTACTTTTTATTTTGGACTCTAATTAGTTTTATTTAATATAAATTTTATTATAATGTAAACATTTGTTTCTTAATAAGATAACTATCTTATTTAATTTGCTAGTATTCTATTTAAATTTCCTCTATAAAAATTCTTAGAAAAAATTTTTATAAAAATTGATTATATAAATAAAATCTAATTATTGTTGTTTCAAATGACTGTTTACATGCTTTCAATACATATTTTAATTCCATTTTAGTATTCAACAAGTATTAGTTTCTTTTATCTATTTTTATCCAATTCAATCCACTTCAGATGTTTTAATCCATCTTAATTATATTAACCACCACCTCTATTTATGTTAAATTAAATTACATTCTGTTTATAAATGAATTATGATGCTTCATCATATCCCATTTTCCTTATTTTAAATCTTTGTAAAATTCTCCTTCATATAATATTTGATTATGATAATTATAATTTTCATCTAAGTCAATCCATTTTCCATTTTTTTCTCCATTTTAGTAATTACCGCCAGCTCTAATATACTATTAAATAAAATAAGACATTATGTAAAATGTATCTTTAGGCCAAAAGTAATATGTGAGAACATCATGCTCATAGTATTTAATAGTCTTTATATCCCATCTCCCTTATTTAATTCCATGATCATATTATCCAATATCTAAGACTTTACAATTACTAAAATACTGATTTTTTATACTGATTAAAATTATCATGTAAAGAAATCCATTTTCCATGTTTCATCCCTTAAGTATCATATATACCCCCACCACTAAATATTAGGTGAAATAATTATGTACATTTTTTCTAAACCTTAATTTTTGTTTAATAAGATTTCCCATCTACCTTATTTAAATCCTTTGTTATATTCTCCTATTTAAATTACAAAAAATGGTCTTATTTGATTATATATTATAATACAATTTAAAGTTGCTTAATTCTTTCCATTTTCCATTTTTATAACCCATATCATCGTATAAACCACCTCCACTTATAAATTTATTTTAAAATTTACATTATTATATTTCCTTATTTGATTTACCACTATCCTGACTTTTTACCATTAGTATATTCTCCAACAAAAGTAACTAATTTATGTAATATAGGATTGCCATTCAAATTCCTTTTATCAAATTAAGAATAATTGGATAATTTAATCCAATCCCCATACTTTTTTCCCTCTTCATTATAAGCACCTTTGCCACTTAATTTAAATTAATTTATACACAAATTAGTTTCCAAAGAATATATTCCAAGTGCCTACCTTAATTCCATGGACATATTGCCCAAGACTCTTAGCATGATGGTATTAACTAAAAAATGATTAAACGATTGATACTTCATTTGATTTCTTTTTAATTATACCCAAAATCCATTTTGTTATTCATTTTCATCATAAACTCCACAACCTCTAGAAATAAACATATTTAAAACATAATTTAATATTACTATCTAATATTTATCTACATTGCATTCCAAATTCCTTGTTTTTTTCCATAATTATAGTCACCAACATATAAAAATTATTAATCACTAAATATGAGAATAATTAAACTCAACAAAATCTTCTATTAAATCAAACCATTTACCATATTTTATTCTATCTTCATTATATTAAACACCAATTCTATTAAAATCTATTAAGTTATAGATACATTTTAATAGAATTATTTTGATTAGATTCATAAAATTAAAAAACCTAAATTCCAATTTTGTGATTATTTTAATAAACAATCTATCATAATTTTCATGTATTTCAATCCTTAATCCTTCCTTCTATCCTTTTTTGTTATACAATCCTCCTCTTCTAAAAATTACTTTATATTTACATAATTTTGTCATCTTATTGATGGATCCACTTTCCTTATCTGAATCTTTGATTATATCATAATAAAGTAAATTTGGCATAAACTGATTTAAACCATATTAATTTTATTACTTCCAATATCCTTTTTAAGGTTCTACCTAATTTCCTACTTTCTGACCATTATCATTATATAATCCTTTCCAAAGGCTGTTGTTATTATCTGCAAATAGTCGATTAATAGTCACCTTACCTTGAATAAGAATCTAATTTATATTTCATCTCTAATTTGACTAAGGGGTTCCCGTTTTATTTATATAATATAATTATAACTATTTTTTAATTATTATAATATTATATAGTGTAAATGGATGCCACTTATAATGGTTGAAAAGACTTTCATAAAAATGATTATAATTTAATCTTGATACAATAATCAGAATAATAGTTTATTATTTTCAGTAGAAATTTTACTCCAATTTTAATTTAAAATTGGATACATCAAAATAATATATTGAATCTCTCAGCTTTAACTTAAAATAATGAAAAAGTAACCCAAATTGCTTAAATTAGATAATTTGGAAAATAGTATTTTACAATAAGTAGGATAGATCATGTTAAGTTATTAAAATTATGAAATAGGAGACTGAGAATATTAACAAGTAAGAATATTAACAAGTAAGAATATTACTGCTAAACTTATAAACAGGGAGATGCTGCATATCAATTGATTCTTTTGTATATTGAAATCATTATTATATCTATCTAGGATTATAACAATTCTCATTAAAATAAACAGAAATAAAAAAATAAACAATATCAGAGAAGCCATTTTCATATATTTAATTTAGAAATTTTTGTTCTCTGCTTTCATAATTTTAGAAAGTCTCAAACTTAATATTAATCTTAATAGTAATATTTATTTTTTTGATATCATTATATATCAGGTTTGTTTTATCAAAATTTCTAAGGGTTCTATCGCATAACATTAGTTTTCCAAATCAATAGAATCTATAGGTTTAATTTATAAACGGTTTGATTCCTTTAAACTTTGAAATTCTATATATGTGTTCAAAAGTTTCCCTCCCATTTAATGACTTTATGATAAGATCTAATCTCCAAATTTATCCTAGAGAATAAATTATATTCTTGAAATTTCATAAAGCAGATTTGTTAATCTGCACTTTTCTTTTGCTCCTTTTTATAATATCTAGTACTTTAATTTTAAACTTTCTATTGGTTACAATTTATTATTTAAATCTTATTTATCAAATTTNTTTTTATTAGCATCATAAAACTAATAAATCCAATTTCCAATTTTGTGATTATTTTAATATACTCCTTTAAATATAACTTAAAAATTTCTGAATAATAACAATTAATAACCTATCATAATTTTCATGTAATTCATTCCATAATCCTTCCTTCTATCCTTATTTGTTATACAATCCTCCTCCTCTTAAAAATTACTTTATATTTACATAATTTTCTCAGCTTATTGATAGATCCACTTTCCTTATCTGAAACCTTAATTGTATATCCCAATAAAGAAAATTTAGCATAAACTGATATAAACTATATTAATTTTATTACTTCCAATATCCTTAATAAGGTTCTACCCAATATCCTTCTTTCTCACCATTATCATTATATAATCCTCCATAAATCTATTTTTCCCCTCTCCAAATCATGTTCCATTTTCCAATTGGCAAATTTTAATTGTTATATTATCCAGCCCATTTAAGATTTCTAATTTATTCTAACGAAGTCAAAATTTCTGGACTTTTCTACTAATCTATTCTATTTTCTCTTAAATAATGTAAATAATTAAAGAATACACTCTAAGAACTTCACCATCATGAATATATTTCATCTCTCCAGCTGGAGTATATTCTATCATATACTTAAACCTTTATTTTTTCCATTAATGACCAGAAGAATTCAAATAATGATATTTGCCACTAAAAAAATTAGTTCCATTCTTCCAAAGACTGTTGTTATGATCTGCAAATAATCAATTAATAGTCGCGATACCTTGAATAAGAATCTAATTTATATGTTATCTCTAATTTGACTAAGTGGTTCCCATTTTATTTATATATATATATATATAATTATAACTATTTCTTAATTATGATAATATCACATAGTGAAAATAGATGTCGCTTATTTTGGTTGAAATAGGCTTTGATAAAAATGATTCTTATACAATAATCAGATTTTATAATATTTAGTCTTAAATAGGAATTTCACCAATTTTAATTTAAAATGGAATGTATCAAGATAATATATTTAAACTCTCAACTTTAACTAAAAATAATGAAAAGTAAACTAAATTGTTTAAATAAGATAATTTGGAAGAATAATAATATATATTAGGTATGGGAGATCATACTAAGTTATTTACAATTATTAAATAGGAGACAGAGATTATTAACAAGTACGAATATTACTGATCAACTAATAAAATGGAGATGATGCATATCAATTTATTCTTTTAAATATTGAAATCATTATTATATCTATCTAGGATTGTGAAAATTCTTATTAAATAAACAGAAATAAAAAAATTTAACAATAGCAAAGAAACCAACTTCATATATTTAATTAATAAATTTTTGTTTCTGCTTTCATAATGTTAGAAAGTCTCAAGCCTAATATTAATCCAAAAAATAATAATTATTTTGTTATATCAAAATATATCAGGTTTATTTTATCAAAATTTCTAAAGGTTCTATAGCATAACATTAGTTTTCCAAATCAATAGAATCTATAGGTTTAATTTATAAACGATTTGATTCCTTTAAACTTTGCAATTCTATTTATGTGTTCAAAAGTTTCCCTCCCATTTAATGACTTTATGATAAGATCTAATCTCCAAATTTATCTTAGAGAATAAATTATATTCTGGAAATTTCATAAAGAAGATTTGTTAATCTGCACTTTTCTCTTGCTCCTTTTTATAATATCTAGTACCGCAGTTTTAAATTTTCTATTGGTTACAATTTATTATTTATATCTTATTTATCAAATTTAAATAGATTTAAGAAATTCACAGAATATTATTTAAATTCTGGATAGTACATTGTAATGATTTCATTTAATAACTCATTTTCTGATAATTAATTATTATAGTATAATACTACATGTTTCAACATAAATATTAGTTAGATAATGGATCCAATTTAGGCTAATACAACACCTAATTTAGGATAGGTAATTTCTTCAACAATAGATATATTATCAATCCTAAATAAATAACATCCATAGCTATCAAAATTATAATTGAAACTTGACATTGCATTAATTACTTTTGCAATATATGTTTTATCAGTCTCTTAAGTAATCAGTTCATAGTTATTTAAAAAATTAAAATTTTCATAAGAATTAAATAAAATACCATTATCGATTATTGATTGTTACTATTTCAACATTATTTGAGAATACTGTGGCCTTTTAGCATCAAAGCTTGTATAAAATAATTTTTTGAATAGTTCTAGTTCATTTGTTATTAGATTTAATTAACTTAATTTAATTTTGATGAATAAAAACCCATGAAATCTAGATAAATATTCATCTATTATTTTTTCATCAGCACAATTACTTCCCTCAATGAGAAATTAACTTGAACATCTTGCAAGTACGATTGCGTGTTATTCTTATAATTTTTGTGTTTCATCAACAGAATCAAGTGTATTTAAAACTAGATTAACATTGCTTAATTCAATTCTATATGGTTTTTCATCATTTGAAAACAAAGGAATAGGCTTTTCTTAAACAGTAGTATTCATAAAGGTCACTAATAATGGTGTAATGATATTATTTTCTTTTTTGAAAGGATCAACATCTCTAGTGAAATCTTCTAATGTTAGTTCAATCATAGATTCCTACAATTAAAATTCAGCATAACCTATGGTTTTTTACTTTGAGCTTATAATAGGTGCTATTTAATTGTTGATCCATAGAACAATCACATATAAAAAATAAGATAAACTTAATCCACTTAACATAATTGTTATTATCCCTCCAACCTTGCTTTGATATCTTTAATTATTTGTATTAGATAGAAGACAAATAGGAACACCAAATATATCTATATTTTCAATAGTATTTATAACTTTGTTCATAATTCTTATTTTATTAATATGATATTAAATAATAATAATATATGAATCCAAAATAATCCAACCTTATCTCATTATTCTATTAATTCAATATTTCTTATTCCAAAAATATTTTAATACATTTTATTATATCCTGAATGGGATAAAAATTTTATAATTAAGAATTTTTTCATTTCAATAATAAACATTTTCATTATTCTTACAAGTGTAAGTTAGATAATAACTATGTCTCTTGTCATAATTACATATCTATTATCTAAAATTAAATTTAATTATGAATTAAATTTAATTTTTGATTATAATTAGGAGAAGTTGAATAACTAAATTAATACTTTAAGAAAATAAAACATTTATGAAATTGATTATTTTACCAAATACTCAAAAAAACTTAAAGAAAACCTAATAAAAGTTGTGGACATGTGTAATAGTGAATTAACATTAATATAAAGATGAACTAAATAAAAATAATAAAGATTCATGGGATGAAGTATAATTGTATTTAGAAACAGAGAGAATAAATAAAATAAATAAGAATTACTAAAATAAATGAATAAGTTCTGTTGCCATAATCAAATAAATTATAAAAATAATAGAAAAAGAAACGGATAAAAAGTGTTTTGAAAGATACCTTCTATTATGAAGAACTTAAACTAATAAATAAAATAAAAGCAAATCACATAGAGTGTCCTATAGGATCTATTTTTGACAAGCGTCCACCTTAAAGAGAGATAACTTATCATTAAATTTAAGAAGTGTATTAAGAATAACGGTGTTTTGCACTTGCACTCAATAAATAAGGTTCAATAATGGCTGGAGAATCTAAAAATGATGTAAAAAATTTGAAATTTTGAAATAGGATAATTCAGAGATTCAGGAGTAAACTTAAAAGGTCATAATTTAGATGTTACGTATATTATTTTTAATAAACATATAAATTGGTTTATAACTGGAAGTATAGTTTGTAAGATCACAGGATCGAAAAAGATTACTAATTCAATTTATTGGGTACCATCATAACCTTGTGACACTTATTCAATTGTATTGTGTTTATTTTTAAATTAAAGTGAAAATTTCATCTTTTCTGGTAGTTCAAATGGATCAATCAAGGTTTGGACTTTAAACACAGATAAGAATTAGTTAATGTTTGATTATTAGCTTAATAAGCATAGTAAAAATAGTGGTTAGGTGAGTATGAATGAAGAAAAAACACAAATAGTCTCATTTAGTGATGATAAAACAATAATAGTTTGGAAAAAGAAGGAAAATGAAAGAAAATTTAAGTTCAAGTAAGTTTTTGAAAATCTGAAAAATGATAATGGATTTAGTGATTGTTTTCTTAATAAAGATACAATAGCTTGGTGAAAAGAATATTAGGGTTCTTTTCATATATTTAAATAAGAAGTAGAAAAGTTTGTAGACAAAAATGAGTTTCAAATTAACTTAAAGAATTAATACTTATAGATGGATAATCCTTATTTTTTTCTATTTACAATAAAGCCAAGTATAAATATTTATCATAAAGCATTACAAATATGTTAATAACTTGAGCTATCAAAGTTAATCATTTAATGTTCAAAATGAGCCAAATGATAGTAAATCTTGCAAAAATTATGGAAATATTACTGAGGATGGAAACTATTTAATAGTTTGGAATGATTAAACTTTATCATTTTACGTTTACGAATTGAAATATCATTGAGGATAAAATTGATATTTTTCCCTAAGAATTATAATTATTTACTTTAATATCTATCTAATATTATGAATTAAATTTCAAATAATCTATCATTATGCAAAAATTATCTTAGGGAATTTTTAATCACTAGAAAGGATCTTTGATACTATTTAGACAGGATCTTATATATTGAATTTGCCAATACACTTTAGATATATAATTTTTTCATTTAACACTTATCTCTTAAGTTCCTGTATAATGTATTAAATCTGTAATTTCATTAGAAATTGCAATAAAAAAGTAAATTAAATGTCGTAGTA